TGGCTCGGAGGTGGAGGGGGTGGTGGAACTAATCGTTGGTGGTGGGAATGGCGGAGGTGGTGTGCAGCGCCCACACCAGGCTGGCCCTTGCCGTCTGGGCCAGCCGACCAATTCTCAGCAATTTCTCAGTTCAACGTTCAGGCTTGTCAGTCACTCCGCAGGCAACCGCAGCCCATGCCAGCCATCTGGCGTGCGCCAGCTTCACAGCCCAAATCAGCTTATAAGAGCGACCGGTGGTTGGGAGGAGGGGCTTGGGAAACTACTGGGGCGGTCGGGGAGGGCGCTTCTGGCACTCATGGCCATTGTGGCCTTCGGCGGGGGGTGCATACCCTAGTGTGGGCCGCCGGATTCGAGTAACTTGCTCCAACCTGTGACAGAAGCCGCCTCTCATGTGCTTGCCTACATCATTAGTTAGTTCTCTGTTTCGCTAAGCTGTTTACCGCAATTCTCGGTGGCTTATTTCCCACTGTGCTTTCCTAGCGTCGCCTACTCTGTTTTTTTGGTTTTGTGGTAACTGCCCTAAATACTGCAAGCGTGGATTAACTTGTAGGATGTGCGGTTGTTACGCTTGGATTGGATGTGGGCTGGGGGAGGGTATTCTACGGCCAGACAGCCGCTGTTTCTTCAGTGCGCTTGCGCGTGTATTTTGGTAATTCTGCGGTTCCCGCTTTCTTATCCTTATTATGCCCATTACATGTTTCATTCGTTGGTTATTATTTACCCTCCCGACGGCAGCAGCCTAGCTAATCTCAGCCCTTCATGGACCCGCGTTTTTTTACCGCAGATTCTCGCACTTCCTCATCCGCACTGGCGGCTGCCTTAATTTGACCGTCAAGGCCGAAGTCGGCGACTATATTCCATGAGGCCTGGCGCTGTTTTTTGGGGGCGCGACGGACTCTGTTTTTCATGTCCGATCCAACGAGAGGCTGATCAGTACGGGGAAAGGGGTGGGGGTGAGAGGCGAGGGTGAGGGTGAGGGTGAGGGTCAGGGTCAAAGTGAGGATGGGGATGGATATGAGGACAACAACGGCGACGATTTTGATGCTGATGCTGATGATGATGGTGAGGGAGGGTGTTGGTTATTGTGATGGTGATGGTGATCGGTAATTATGTTTTGTTGACGGTGATGATGCGGAAGGTTCGGGGTGAATATGGTGACGATGATGAAGATGATGATACGGCTGATGATGATGATGCTGATGATGATTGTGTGGCGGTGCTAATGATGACGGTACTGCTGATGAGGGTGATTGTGTTTGTTGCGTGGGTGGTGCTGGTTGTGGTGGTGATCACGGTGATGACGATGACGATATCGACGACGAGGTGATGATCATGGTAAGGAACATCATGAGGAGTGAGGAGGTAGGAGAGTATGCGGAGGATGACTCGTGTCATTAATTTGGTGATATATCGGGTTTTCCGATTGTTATCAGGATGCTGATAAAGATGACGGTGATGCTGATGATGGTGATGCTGATGATTCGGATGCCGGTGATGATGATGCTGTTGTTGCTGATGGTGATGATGCGTACGATGGTGATCTAATGATTTCGCGGAACGTGATGGTGATGACGACGATTACCATGTCGATGACGATGCTGACGTTGCTGCTGCTGATGATGACGACGACGATGATGATGCTGATGTTGCTGCTGCTGATGATGACGACGATGATGATGGTGATGATGATGATACTGGTAATGCTGATGCTGATTGTGATGATGATGATGCTGATGCTGATGCTGATGCTTATGATGATGGTACTGATGATACTGATGATGCTGATGATGCTGCTGCTGATGATGATGATTGTGAGGATGGTGTTGATGCTTATGATGGTAGTTGTGATGCTTGTGGTAGTAATGATGTTGTTGGTGATAACAATGATGATGCTGATGATGATGATGCTGATGCTAATGCTGATGCTGCAGAGGATGATGTTGATGCTGCTGCTGATTCTGATGATGATGATGATGATGAATATGATGGTGCAATGCTCAGGATTCAACACATGTTGGGGCATCTGAGCGGGGGTCAAGTCCCAGGAAAGAAGACGACGATAGACGAGACGACGGCACGATGGTGACATAACTTGGGCAGGAGGGAGCCCTCCTCCACAGTTCAATGGGGGCCTGACTGGAAGTGTACCCAAACAGCCACAATCCATGAGGTTATTGTTGGTGGTGGTTGTGTTGTTCATGATGGTGATGATGATGATGATGATGATGATGATGATGATGATGATGAAGGGGATGAGGATGATGACGATGATGATGCTGCTGCTGATGATGATGACGATGGCGACGACGATCATGATCATGCTGCTGATGATGATGATGGTGGTTGTGGTGGTTATGATGTCGGTGATGGTAGTGATGGTTGTGAGGATCATGATTGTGATGCAGATGCTGCTGATGATGATGTTTATGATGGTGATGATGATGCTGAGGCTGATGCTGCTGATGATGCTGATAACGATGCTGATGATCATGCTGATGATGCTGATGATGCTACTGATAATGGTGGTGATGATGATGCTGCTGATGATGATGCTGATGATGATTATGATGCGGCTCATGATGCTGCTGGTGATGCTGCTAATGATGATGGTGGTGGTGACGATGCTGATGCTGATTATGATGCTGCTGATGATGATGACGATGATGATGATGTTGCTGATGATGCTGCTGATGATGATGGTAATGATGATGGTAATGATGATGATGATGATGATGATGATGATGATGATGATGATGATGATGATGATGCTGATGATAATGATGATGATGAAGATGAGGATGATGTTGATGATGGTGATGATGATGATGACGATGATGATGATGATGATGATGATGATGATGATGATGATGATGATGGTGATGACGATGATGATGATGATGATGCTGCTGCTGATGATGATGATGATGATGATGATGATGATGATGATGATGATGATGATGCTAGTGAGGATGACGGTGATGATACGAAGGAGGATGAGGAGGAGGAAGAGGAGGAGGTGGAGGAGGAGGAGGAGGAGGTTTAGGAAGGGGAGGAGGAGGAGGAGGAGGAGGAGGAGGAGGAGGAGGAGGAGGAGGAGGAGGAGAGGAGGAGGAAGGAGGAGGAGGAAGGAGGAGGAGGAGGAGGGGGGAGGAGGGAGGAGGATGGAGGAGGAAGGAGGAGCGGAGGAGGGGAGGAGGAGGATGGGTGAGGATGAGGAGGTGAGGAGGAGGAGGAGGAGGAGGAGGAGGTTGAAGCAGAGGGGGATCATGGCACTCTGGGAGCTTCCGGTGGGCCTGTATGGGACCTCTTGGGGCTCTCGTGGAGCTACTTTGAGGCTACCTGCGGCCCTCGTGGGTTCCCTTAGGACTCAGTGGGGCACCTCTTGGGGCCCTCTCGAGCTGCCTCTTGGGCCATCCTGGGGCCTCTAAGCGTCATGCGGGCCACAGAGGGAGGGACGGCTTATCTCTTGAGACCAGCTTTGTTCCGCTGGAGACTTCTGCGGGGAAATCTGCGCCACCTTGCTGGGGCCATCCTGTGGCCTGTTCGGTGCCTCTCGGGGGGCTCCCGAGCCCCTCTTGGGCCTCTCGGGGCCATCGTCGGCAACCATCTCGCGCGCCCCGCCGACCCCGGCAGCCGGGAGCCAGCGGACTTCGAGGCGGCCGCTGCCAGGACCAGGGACTTCGACTTGCCCAGGCCACGGGGGACGTCAACTGACTGCCTCACCGATCCTGGCCAGGCTCATCCTGGGCTCTGGATTGGCCTGGCCAGGATCGGTGAGGTGGTCTGTTGACGCCCCCCGACAGGTCGGCTAAGATCACCCGGGTTGGAGGGTCCCTGATGCCGCTCGACAGGGGAGAGCCTGTGCCCCCCGACAGCGAGCCGCTGCTGCAGCTCTGCGAGCAGGACTAGGGGAACAAAAAGTGACATAAATATAAAAACTCGGAGGTCCGCGCGGATTTCTCGGATCGGCGCTGGGGCCCCCCGGCGGCGCCTCCGGCGCCGCCCCTGGCGCGCTCCGCGCGCCATGGCAGAGGGGTCCGGCGCCGATCCGAGAAATCCGCGCGGACCTCCGAGTCTTTATGTTGATGCCACTGTTTGGTTCCCCGAAGGACGGCGCCTTCTGGGTGGACAGCGCGGCCCCGGGCCGCGGTGCCTCCGGCAAGAAGCTCTGGCTGCCGGAGCAGAGCACAAAGCGGCTCGGCCGTGCGCTCTTCGGAGGTCCGCGGCGGGATTCCCTGCGGTCGGCGCCTGGGACCCCCGTGGGCCCCCGCCAGTCAGGAGGGGGAAACACACAGACACAATTGTTCGTCGACTCCCAGGAAACGATGGGGAAGCATTGACAATGAGAGGAAGACGAAAGCCCAGAGTATATGTATGTATATATATATATATATATATATACACATCTCTCTCTCTCTCTCTCTCTTTGTGTGTATATATATATGATAATATGGGGAATCCTGGGATCTGTGTGTATTTGTTTATTCGTCCCCGGGCCCCTTGTCATCCATGGCAGCGCCTCGGGCGGCGCCTCTGGCGGCACCGCTCACGCGCTCCGCGTGCCGAGGAGGGGGGGCCCAGCGCCGACCGCAGGAGATCCGCGCCTGCCTGTAAGTCGGGCCTGTCCCTCTACAGGAGAAGTATTCAACACAGTCCAAAAATGATATGCGGACGAGGTTTTGGGATTTTGTTTTGACCATTTTGTGGCATTTGTTTGTCTATTCTTATTTTTTCGTCCGAAATCCCCCTGTAGGAGGACAGGCCCGACTTAAGCCTACCTGTAAGTCGGACCTGTCCCCTTCTACAGGAGAAATATACAAAAATATTCAACACAGTCCAAAAATAACATGGGGACGATGTTTTGATATTTTGTTTGACCATTTTGGGGTACTTGTCTGTCTATTTTTAATCTTTCGTCCGAAAGCCCCCTGCAGAAGGACAGGCCCGACTTGAGCCTACCTCCGACACTTCATGACCCTACCGATGTTTGCTCCTCTCAGGTTGGTCGTCAAAGACCTTCCCGGCGCTAGCTATGCCCTGTCGGAGGGGGACGTGATCCGGCTGGGCTGCTCGAGGTTCCGCGTCCGCCAGCTCGTGGCCGACGCCGGCGCCGGGACACGCCCGGAAGTGGCGCTTCCAGGCTCTCCGACCACTTGCCCCGACGAGCGGGGCCCGGAGCCAGAGGCCGGCGTCTGCCGCATCTGCCTGGACGGTGACTGCGACGAGCAGGGCCCGCTCATTCGGCCCTGCGCGTGCAGGGGCTCCATCGAGAGCGTGCACCTCGGGTGCCTGCGGCAGTGGATCCGCTGCAGGATGGGGCTGCTGGACGAGGACCTCGGGAGGCAACGCTGGGGGGGGGACAGGCTCCGGGTGATGAGCCTGTTTTTCAGCCACTACCACCACGAGTTGGAGGAGGACAAGGAGGATGAGGGCGAGGAGGAGGAGGAGGAGGAGGAGGAGGAGGAGGAGGAGGAGGAGGAGGAGGAGGAGGAGGAGGACCCCCCCTCCAACTTCTGGTGGTGGTGGAAAACGCTCCCATCACCAGGGGGAATGCCTCGGCCCCCAATCGCCCACTGATGGCCGAGGGGGGTCTGATGGCCCCACCCCGCCCAGGAGCGTGCGGGCTCGCTGTCCAGGGCCTGTCGCCGATCCATCGGCGATGCGGCCGCCTCACTGACCCAGAGATGGCGGCCAGGGCTGGCTGGGGGCTCGGCCTCGGCCTGATGGAGTGAGTACGTGGGCAGCGGGCGGCAGCCAAGATTTCCTTCAATGCAGAGGCAGCCGCAGCCACTACAGCAGCGTGTGCAGGAGCAGTATGCTTTGTGGCAGCGTCAGCCAGCCGACTTGCTGCCAGCGAGCAGCCATCCATAAGACGCATTGGCATAGGCCACCAATCTTCTTTGTTTTGCCATGCAGATTCTTTCGGTTGTGAGAGAGGAGCGGTGGGGGGGAGTGAGGGGGAATCAGGGGTTGGGGGTCCTCAGAGTCGACGGCCCGCCGCAAGGGCAGCCGCCGACTCCTGCTCTGGTCTCAGAAGTAAGGGTTCGCAGGGGCCCCTGCAGCGGGGCAGCCTCTCAGTGCTGCCCGCAGCACAGCTGCAGCAGCGCGGGGAGCGCGCCCCGGGCAGTCTCTCGGGCCGACAAGCGTTCGGTTCTGGGGGGCAGCTTCCATATCATTGCCAGGTGCCCGCTTTCAGGTTTCAGGTCTGCAGCGCAATGGACCCCCAACGACCTTTCCTTTACCTCTACCTTTACCATTACCTTTACCAATACCTTTACCTTTACCTTCACCTTTACCTTTAACTCCTCCTCCTCCTCCTGCTCCTCCTCCTCCTCCTCATCCTCCTCCTACCACTGGTCTCAGGCCGATGTTTCCCCCTCTGCGCCAGCTCCCCCTGATCGTTGCCCCTCAGGACAGGGGGAACACGTGCTTCGTGAGGCAGATGGATTGCGACTTGTGCAAGCAGGCGTACCCCTCGCACGTCCGCGTGGGGGGCGTCAGCACGCCGCTGGTGGAGGTGCCGCAGCCGGCCGGGCCCTTCCTGGTGCTCGAGCAGGTGTCGCGGTCGAGGAGGGCTGGCGGGGGCGCTGGCGTCCTCGTCGCCTCCCTCGCCGAGGGCGGCAGCGGGCTCACCTTTGGCCGCGCCCAGGGCGCGGGCTTCAGGGTGGACGACATCTCCATCTCGCGGCTTCACGCGAGGATCTCCTTCAGGGAGGGCAGGTTCTCGAAGAAGAGACAATCTGCATTGGGCATGTCAGCCAATGTGGGCCCAGCCATCAAGTCATTCCGCTGCGGAGGTGAAAGCTTTGCGGAGTAGGCTGTGTGGTACAGCCTGCGTGGGCCCAAGCAGTGAGTCATTCCGCTGCGGAGGTGAAAGCTATGCAAAGTAGGCAATGTGGTGCTAGCTATGCTTTTCAAGCTATGCGGTGCGAGCCGTGTTCTGTATGCCAGGCTGTGTAAGCTGCGTGGTGGAAGCCACGTGGTGTGAGCTGCGTGGCATGGGCCGTGCCGTGCGAGCCGCGCCGTGCAAGCTGTGCGACTGCAGCTGCGCGCTGTGAGCTGTGCTGCGCAGGCTGTGCTGCCCACCCGGGGCAGAGGGCGCCCGCGAGGCGCCCTCGGGCGCGCACCGGGGCAGGGCGCCGTCGGACCCGTAGTCCTCGGCGGGCGCTGGGGCACGCGTGGGGGGCGAGAGGGGCGCCCGCGAGCGCCCACGAGGCGCCCACGAGGCGGGGCGCCGGGCGAGCCTCGGCGGACCTCGTGCAGGTCTTGAGGTCGGCGGGGCAGGGACTCTCTCGCGTGCAAGCGCTGGTTCGGGGAAGGTGCTTCCGGAGGTCAGGAGGAGGAGGAGGAGGAGGAGGAGGAGGAGGAGGAGGAGGCGGAGGAGGAGGAGGAGGAGGAGGCGGAGGAGTAGAGGAGGAGGGAAGGAGGAGGAGGAGGAGGAAGGGCGGGGAAGGTGCTTCCGGAGGTCAGGCGTGGATCTCTTGGATCTGCGCTGAGCGCCTCCCCTCCCTGCCGGGCGGAGCCTGCCGGGAGGGGGGGGTCCCAGCGCCGATCGAGGCACGCCGCGCGGAACTCGGACAGCTTGTGTGTTGCGCAGCTCTTTCCCGATGTAGGTTCGTCCTCGAGGACAACGGCTCCCGCTTCGGCACCCTCGTCTACATGAGGCAGCCATATGCGCTGTCCTCCGGCGAGACCGTCTCCATTCAGACGGGAGGTCCGGGGCAGCAGAGGGCCCCGCACCGTGCCAGTGAGATTCGCCCGTCCTTCGGGGGAGCGGGGGTGGTCGTGGGCGGGAGACACGCGCCGCCGTCCAGTCTGTTCGCGTCATGCGTGCTCCGTATTGTAGCGGCGGTCCCGTTGGGTCATCACGGAGCTAACGCGGGTTCACACTTGCCCCGTTGGGCGCCTGAGGGCTCGCCCCGAGGGCTCCCGAGAGGGGTCTTATACAACATGCCCGCCGACACGGGTGTGTGATTGCCGCAAGTTGTCAACGCGTTGCGGAACGGACGCGGCCACACGTGGTGGTTCAGAAACTGCCTCGCCTTCGAGGGATGGGGAGGTATACGCCTCTTCCCCAGCGGAGGCCGACGGAAGGCGGCGGCAGCAAAGGAAGCGGGGGCGGGTCCACCGGCGGAAGCTGGCGGAAATTCGGCGGAATAAGGTGGAAGCAAGCATCGACCCTCCAAAGATGCGCACCTCATTTTGGATGCAGGGTTTCATGACTCGCCACATACGTATCGTATCCACTGCCTCGCGGTGCGGACTTCTCGGCCGCGACCCCGACGGACACAGGGCGACTCTGTGTGGATGCCCTGTGCGGAGCGTGTCCATGGGATGGCTTATCAATGGGACTGTGCCTCGGCATCCAGACCGCGAGGGCATGGACACACGTCGGTCGTTGGAAGTAGGTACGTCTGGACGCCCAGTTCCCAACCTGTTCTAGGCGCCTTCCTGCTTTAATGATCGAGTGGTTGTCCTTCTTCCTTCCCCTTCCAGAGACGGGCGGAAGCCCAATCTGCTTCCAACGCATTCCCACTTCAGGCTTCTACCCTGAAGTCGGGCCTGTCCCCCTACAGGAAGAACGCTCAAAAACAGTCAAACACTAGTCTGGGGACGATCTCTTGAGTGTTTTGGGATACCTGTTTTGGGATGTTTGGAATCTGTTTCATGTTCCGCCCAAGATTCGCCTGTAGGAGGACGTGCCCGACCTAGTTCTCCCCACTGCTTCCGACCGATGGGCATTGCTGTGTTCGCCCCTCGTGGGACTGGGTAGTCGAAGGCCAGCCTGTCAGACTGGATTGGGCCCCAAGGGCCAATCTGGCCTGGCCATATTGGAGGATTTGGGTTATTCGCCAGACCGGATTCGCGTGGACTCCCTGGCCAGACTGCCCCCGTTTTTGCCAGACTGGGCCTGCCAGATTGGCGCCAGATCGGCTTCGACTACCCAGTGGGAGGAGGGGACTCCGCGCCCCACGGCGGCGGCACGCGGGGCGCGCGTCATCGGCAGGGGGAGGAGGAGGAGGAGGAGGAGGAGGAGGAGGAGGGGAGGAGGAGGAGGAGGAGGTGAGGAGGAGGAGGAGGAGGGGAGGAGGAGGAGGAGGAGAGGAGGAGGAGGAGGAGGGAGGGAGGAGGAGGAGGAGGGAGAGGAGGAGGAGGGGAGTGAGGGGGAGGGGGAGGGGGAGGGGGAGGGGGATGGGGAGGGGAGAGGGGGAGCGTGTGAGGGGGGAGGGGGCGGGGAGGAGGAGGAGGAGGAGGAGGCGGAGTGAGGAGGAGAGGAGGAGGAGGAGAGGAGGAGGAGGAGAGGAGGAGGAGGAGGAGGAGGGGACTACGGGGGGGGGGGCAGGCCGAGGCTCGCCAGCAGCACCGGTGGTGGCCTCGGCTGCCCGGCGAGGTGCCGTCGTCTCCTTCACCCTGCGGCAGGGCCCCGCCGCGGAGCCCGGCCTCCCGGACGCCACGGACCGCTGCTCCGAGTGCAGCACCGAGGAGGGCTTCTCGGCGTGACGGCGGCGGGGCTGCCGCCGGAGGAGCTGGAGAGTGGCGCAGGGGGCGGAGGAGGAGGAGGAGGGGGAGAGATGGTGGAGGTGAAGGCAGGGAGGAGGAGGAGGAGGCTGAGGCGGAGGAGGAGGAGGAGGCGGAGGAGGAGGAGGAGGAGGAGGAGGAGGAGGAGGAGGAGGCGGAGGCGGAGGCGGAGGAGGAGGCGGAGGAGGAGGAGGAGGAGGAGGAGGAGGAGGAGGAGGAGGAGGAAGAAGCCGAAGAAGAGGAACATTACTGCGAATACCAATGATACGAACACTATGCATAAAAACAATGGTAATGATAAGAAAACGAAGATGAGTCTCATATTACTACTAGT